AGAAACCATATTCTTGTGAAGTTTGTGAATCTGCATTTTCAGAAAAGTCAAGTTTAGTACGCCATATGCGAATACACACAGGAGAACGACCATATCCATGTGAAATTTGTGGATCTGCATTTGTAGAAAAGTCAAATTTAGTGCGTCATGTGCGAACCCACACTAGAGAGAAGCCATATTCTTGTGAAGTTTGCGGGTCAGCTTTTTCAGAGAAGTCAACATTGGAGTATCACATGCAAACACACACTGGCGATAAACCATTTTCTTGTGATACTTGTCAGTATACATTTTCACGGATGTCAGATCTTGTATCCCATATGAGAACACACACAGGAGAGAAACCATATATTTGTCAAATCTGTAAGGCTTCCTTTTCATATGCTTCAAATTTGAATAGACATGTACGACTACATACTGGTGAGAAACCATATTCTTGCGACATATGTGGATCTGAATTTTCAAGGAATTCACAGCTGAAAAGACACATGAAAACACATCCTGGTTATAAACCTTAATCATATGAATCAATATTTTTTACAAATTTCTCTTTTAAATATGAACATGCTAATATCGAAACCATATTTGCAAATCTGTGGATGAACACTGAATATAAATATAAAAGATATCTGTGAAATTAGAAGAGAATGTCAGAATCTGCACTTAATCAAAATTTACATTGAAAATGCAAAGGCAGAAAGAAAAGAAAATGAATATTAATTTCATGCAGGTCAGTCAAATGCTTGCGCTTACAAATCCATTCAGGACAATTCAATGAGTGACAATTTGATATAAATTTTCAAAAAACTCATGGCAATCTTAGACTTTTGTGCCCTTAAAAAAAATGGTGTGAAAAGGGCAATTTTTCCCTTGACACATAAATTTATTATTTTAACTACCTTCACTCCTCGACAAGGTTTATCATTTTAAAAAACGATGATTAGAATTGTAATGAAACCTAAACATATGTTGAGAGTGAATTTATACATTTTTTTTGTTTTTGAGACTTGACAATAAAAATATTAAACACTATTTATTCATTAGACTGTTTATTTTCAAGAATAATTTTGCATTTACTGCATTCTGAAAACTAATACAGTTGTATTAAAACTAATGCAATGAAATATTTATCATTTACTAATTTTTAAAGAAATACATATGAAACCAATTTTTTATTCATAAATTTATAAACATTTACTAATTATAAAAATATGTAAATCAACTATAATGAAATCCTTATTATTTAAGCATATTATAAAGTTTGAATTCATTGGCAATTAGCCAATGTTTTGTTAACCATTCCAATAAACAATTTAATAATAGTGTTTAATATTTTTATTTTCTCAAAAACAAAGAAAATATATAAATTCACTTTCATATGTTTAGGTTTTATTAAAATTCTAATCATCACTTTTTAAAACAAACATTGCTGAGGAGTGACAATAGTTCAGATAATAGCAGTGTCAAGGGAAAAAAAAACATCCTTTTGACACTGCATTCTTTCCCTGGGCATGAAGATCCGAGATTGCTGAAATCATATTTAGTCTCCAATATGGGATCACAGTCTCAAAAAAAAAAAACATCTATAAAATCTGTAATGCAATGATTTCAAATTTGAATGTATGACTACATGCTTGAGAGAAATTTTAGTTTGTGACATATGAATCTGAATTTTCAAGGAATTCACAGCTGGAAGGACACATGCAAACACTCCTTGGTTTTATAGAAATCAATATTTTTTTATTAATTCCTGGAAAAAAATATTCATGCTAACATTGTTGTCAAGATTATGCATCAACTTTTTCAATGAATATAAGTATAAAAAAACATCTGTGAAATCTGCATTTATATTGAAAGCCCAAAATCAGAAAAAAAAAGAAAATATACATTAATTTCATGCATGTCAGTCAAATTTTATGCATACATTTGCAAAAAAGGACAAGACAATGTTTCAAAATTATGGGATCTATTTTGTGTACATGAATAAAATCAAGAATCAAGTAAATACGAATTCTGATTTATTTCATATGAACAAAATATTTTCTAACATATAGTTGCAGATTTATATTTTTACAGAATATAAGTATTAAAACATCTAAGAAATCTTAAGTAAAATGTGAGAATCTGCAAACGCAAAGGACAAAATGTCAAGAATTCCTGAAATTTTCCTCTGTCATATTGCAAGAGAAAATATTTTAACTTGATGCAGGTCAGTCCAAAATTTTGGAATGCAGTTTCTTTTTGGGTTTTTTTTTTATTAACAAATGAAATAAAATCTTCTATATTTTCCAAAATCAGTTAAATATCAATAAGAAATATTAAAAATATCTAACATACAAACCATATCCTAATCAGGTTTGTATGACATTTTCACAGAATGTCAGTATAAAACATCTGTGACAACCTAATTGAAATCTTAAAATCTGCATTTTCATTGAAAATCACATTGCAAATTTTTTTTTTATGTGCAGTGTCAATTCAGGACATAAGCGGTCATGGCTCCCCACAACTTCCTGTCTTTTGTGGCTCTTAATAAATCTCGTCTTTCTGTTATTTCTCCAAAACTCTCTTCTGCCATCCATTTACTCAAACTCACTAAGTATGTTATACATTGTTTTTCGCTGTCTCTCTGGCCTTCAATCTGTCCTGTGAGTATGAGATTTTCCAAGAAAAAAAGATATCACAAGAAAAAAACAAAATGTATATTAATTTCATGCTTGTTAGTTAAAAATTTATGCATACAAATGCAAACAGGACAGGTCAACAGATCTTTTTATACATGAATGAAATATAATCTTCATTCACAAAAAAAATGTAAGAATTTGCAAAAACAAAGCAAGAACATATTACATTTCTTTTTTAGGTTTTTAATATGTGTTAACACATTTAAGATATTAATGGGAAGTGGACACAAACTATCTCAGCCAGAATTTGAACTCTCTTCACTGATTCAGTTTTCCATATTTACTATTAGGTCATGAAGCCTTCATATATTTCGTGTATTGAATGCTGTGCAACTGCTAATTTTAGTCTGAATTAATCAGACTTTTGTCTCTTTTTATATCTTATTTTCACAAGTTTTATACATTTTGGACATTTCTCAGTTTCACCACTGGTGTAACATATTTTTAAATGTAATTCTTTCTTTTCTACAGTGATTTTTATGTTGTGTACAGTTGCAAACTTTAAATATTACAGGAAATAAATTATCAGCTGCATTAATAAATATTCAAACTAATTTTTTTTTTTTTTATGTATATAAGTATGAAATAAAATAATTTGCAAGAATTTTTGGCATCCTCTTGTGTAGTGGGAGACAAAACAGTTTTTATTTGTCTGAATATCTTATGTGAAACAAGCACTGTCATTTTCAATTTCTGTCTTTGATTTTTAATTTTCTTTTTAATCTCATTGTTGCGATAGTGATGTTTTTTACAACCATTAAATTTGAAACAAATCAAAAATTGGTGGGGGGCTAATCTGTAGAAGCCTAAAAAATTCTTTTAAATATTTTATTTACTCTTTGCTCTGAAATTTGTATTAGAAAAGAACTGGCTGTCATCAAATAGGTTCTTTTAATCTTAACATTAATATTGTATTTTTCTCTAATAAAGATATTATTTGAAAGCTAAAATTATAATTATGTGTTTTTTCTTTCATGTATGTAATATAATTTTTTCAAGTAGTTCACTTCATGTGAAAAACTTTGATTTCAAAGTAATTTTAAAATTTCAATGCCAAATTATTTTTCTTTAATTTTCATAGGTCAGTTGGTAAAAATGTCAATTTCCTCCTGAATGTAGAAATTACTTAGAAAAAAAAATGAACTTTGTTTTGTGACATTATTAGAGACATTAACCTAAAGAGTATATTTTTAAAATGAATTAAAATTCTGTATCAGACAATATCTAAAGTGTCACCATGTGTATTTACATGCATTTCTATAGTTGTAGGTGTGCTTATTAAAATTTTGAATATTAAGGACCCCAGCCCCTGTAATTTATTTGAACCCCAGGATCTGCTAAAATTTGATCATGAAATTTTCAATACGATTATCAGGCATAGGGAAAATAAATTTTCCTTTTAAGTTTATCAGGTCAGTTGATAAAAACATTAATTAGTGTATTAATAAAAAAATTGTACTTCATTTTGTGACATTAGTAAAGACCTTAACCTAAAGAGTGTGTTTTAAAAATGAACTTAAATTCTGTACCAGACAAGCTGTAACCTACATGTCATCATGTGTGTGTGTGTTTCATTAAGACGGATCAAAGACAACAGTAAATAAATCAATGTTATTGATGAAAATTTATTTATTTCTCTATTGGATCATGTTATTTAATTCATAGCAATTATATGTGAAAAATAATATCACCCAAATATCTGCCAAGGCTTTGGCGACACACCTGCACTCAATGATCAAAATTTTTGATGACGTCTCTGCATAGTTGCTCCTCGATCTCACCAATATGCCTTGTTATCTCATCCTTCAACTGTTGAATTGTTGTTGGCTTGTTGCCATAGACCTTACTTTAGAGATGACCCCAAAGGAAGAAATCTAAAGGCATCAAGTTGCATGATCGTTGTGGCCAATTGACTTTGCTGTTTTGAGAGATGATGCATTTCTGTTTGAACATCCATTTGTGTAATAGGCTTTGATAACTTTAACATGTTGTTTGTTAATCTTTCCATGGTTGAAATTGTGAAAGACTTAAGTTGTTAAATCTGAAAGAAAAAGAATCATCAGATGCTTAAATTTAATTCACATTTAAAATTGGTCCAAGTTATCGGAACATCCTTTATGTGCATTTATGACAAATGTTAATAGAAATATATTTATTTGTTCTTGCTTTGTCTACTTTAGGATTGTTTATTGCTAATCATATTGAATTTTTCAATGATGAGAAGGTCAGAAATAAAACATTCTGATGCATGTTATATATTGTATCATTGACTATGATCAGTCAGCTAACTTTCCCTGCCTTTCCTACTCTCATATGGTTTATGGCCATATCATGTTCAAACACTAGTTCTTGTCCAATCACTGATATTAAGCAATGTTGAGCCTGGTCAGAACCTAGATGGGTGACCACTTGGGAATACCAGGTGCTGTAAGCGTGGATGTGTGAACAGTTTAATGGATAATGGCTTGGAATGAGAAGTTGAAAAGCTGTATTCAAATCCCTGTCAGGTTCATTACATTTACATACAAATATCTTTGGGAAAGGTATGAATCCTCCTCTTCTCTCCATCTATATAGTAAGACTTGTATCTGAATATCATTATTATCTTTAAGAAATTATTAATACAATATTCGCTCACAAACAAAAATTATTATTATTACAATTCCAAAGTATGTTTTGGCTTTAAATAACCTATATAAGGTAGATAAGCCATGAAAAACAAATCAATTAATCAACCTACTCTCATTTAACTACTCTTACCACTTGAATAAATACTGGAAAGTATGCTTGTTCAAATTTTGAAAATTGATACACTCTCCCTCTGCTCCTTATTCGAACCTCAATATATATTTAAAACTCCTTGTATATATGTTCCTGAGATACAGTTTAAACAATACATAATATCCCAACCACTTTAGGAACATATTGTACCTTAAACCCCTGCTAAGTGCAGTGCCAAATTTCATTAAAATTAAACCAGGGATTATTTAGCTAGAGCCATTTTTTTTGTTTATTTACATCATTTTTAAGAGAAAATTCAGTATTTGTTTTCTATAAACAATTTTTAACACTAATTACATTATTCAGACTATTGTCCTCATCTTTGTTGCCATAATTATTACAATGTTTTGGCCATTGTATGCTCCAGCCTTCTTCAGGTGGTTGGAATGTCGAACTGAACCCTTTATTTTGCTCACTGGGGTAGACTGTTCTAGTTCCATGTTTAATGGATGTCAGTTGTCAGTTATCTCCTGTCTTAACCGGGTATTGAACTCACACTCTTTGCATCCTCTCACTGAATCTAACTAACACCTTTATCCACTGTGCCATGTGTCCTTGAAGAAATGTAATAAATATGGCAACAAAGATGAGAACAATAGTCCGAATAATGTAAATAGTGTACATAATACCTCATCAGAAATATAGACATAAATATTTTTATATCAATCCACATATATAAACAAACACTTGCATATTTTATTTCAACTATTATGTATATGAAAAATAAAACATAAGACATTATAACAACATGATTAAATAAATTTAAATATGCATAACACAACATACAATTCACTATACTACACTAGAACTTTTTTATAAACAACTACTTGAAAGGTAAAGAGGCTATATGTATTACATGATTTGATGGTAAATGAATAAAAAGCTGCCGTTACATATTTTGAAATAAATCCGAGAAAGAAATAAGTATGTATAAGTTTATTTTGAGAAAGAAGACACCTCTTTTAAGCTATTACTCCAAATTTTCACAGAATACATTAATTATAAAACTAAGTTAAACAATAAACCTTCTTTTACCATCTTTAGTATCCTATTATAATTGTGTTTGTCCCACCCTTTGTTAGTTCATATGAGCATTAAACCTGGCTAATACCTCATAAATAATGGACAATTCTGTTTTGATCATGTGGATAGTAGGGAAAAAGATGCTACTTGGTTTCAGTGAGAAAATGAAGGGAAAATAAGAGAGAGAGAATTAGATTAAGTTGTTAAGAACTGATACTACACTTTGATCTCAGCCAATAGGTCAAGAAACGTATTTTCTTACCATGCAATGCTGACAGGATGTGACACAAGGTCAGTTTAATGTGGGGAGCCCAAGCACATGCAATTGGGCCAGGTCTAAAAATAACCCAGCCCCTGAAACCATTGGTTGCACTGACATCAGTATTACTACTGATCCCCCTCCTCTTTAGTGCAATAAGGGAAGTACTGCCATGGGTAGCTGTTTCCCAGGACTGGGTACCTCTTCAGTTGTGGTCTGTTTCTGGACAGAGGCATAACTGAGTTGTGCTTTGGTCAACTGAGAGATGAAATGTAGCTTATCTGCCTGGGGGCAGATACTAGAAGCAATGAAGCCAAGAAGCAATGGCGACCATGATAAAACGCTGTTTTTCAGCTACACAATATTGAATGAGAGAAACTAAGTAAGGTAATTACCCAAAATTCAATTACCATAAATAAAATAACATTATCTGCTGAATTATATCTTTAATGTTATTAAGAGAAATGTTTGTAACACAGATTTGGCTAGTTAATTATTAATTTTATATTTAAAGTACATTTTATGGAATAAATTCCTCTTTTAATTTGAAGAAGTACAACATATTTATTAATATCATAAAATAATTTTTGTAATTTAAATTTTTTTGTTTTGGTAATAAACTCAATTATTATTTATATAAATATATATATATAAGTATAAATATATGTATGTATGTATGTGTGTGTACATATTTCATTGAATAATATAGGCATATTGTGTCTACTTATTTTTATATTCATTCTTTGCAGTTTTCTAATCAGTTTCTTGATGTTAAGATGAAATTCATTAAGGAAGGCTCCGTAGTTTTTGTTAAGCCAAGTACTTTTGATCTTTTCCAAGATCCTCTTCAATTACAAAGACAAACTTATTATAACGGCAATAAAATCTGCATTCCATTGTGATGGTTATTAATATTAAATTAATGTCAACGTTGACATTAAATTAATATTAAAACAGCATAATTGCATATTCAGATTTTTGTTTTTCCATATATTTTTCTTCATACTGTTGGATCTATATCCATATATTTGCTTATATATATATATATATATATTATATTTTTAAGACATTTATGTTTATACATTTTTTATAGATACAAATATTTAAGTAAATGCTCTGTTTATAATAAACAGTATTAAACAAATGTTGAATATCCAGATACTGGATATTCAGGCGGTAAATCAGATTTATTAAAAATATTTGTATTTGTATAAAATTTAATATAAACATAAAATGTCTTAAAATAATTGGTGGACTTTGTCCATTTCATAATATATTTATATGTATTTATATATATATATATATATATATATATATATATATATGTATATATATATTTTAATAAGCCATCTAGAAATTTTGATTTTACACTTGAAAGCATGTGTAGACACTGACTGGTCACCTGCTATAAGGGTAAGATAAGTAAAAGGCAAACCCAAACAAAATGCCAGGTGTTATATGCACCTCACATACCCAATAATTCAATTTGCAAGCAATCACAATTAAATAATTATGTAGTTTGGGAACATATCAGTGATTCAAAATGGAGTACATGAAAGAAATATAACCGACAGCAGCAAAAAACTCATCCTGAGAAATAAATGACAAGTGGATGACACGTAAAGTTCTTAGTCTAATGTTGGAGAAACAACAAATAACCTAAAGAATTGGCACTGTTTATAGAAAACTAAACAAAATCATCAGCAATAAATGGCAAGAAACAAATTTTTTACAGCATATATTTCAAAAGGAAAATTGTGCTTTTCAATTAGCTAATATCACTTGTAAGTTTCAGAAATATAAGATTGCAAATGCTTGATGCTCGTATGATTTCTTTACAGTGATCATATTTTAACTGTTATTCACTTTTATTTTTTATTAGTATGCTAGGTAAACTTGTTAAAAACGTTTTGAAGTTTGAATAAATCTTCTCAATTTTTTTACTTTTTCTTATTTATAAATTACTCAATTAATTTTTGACTATATGAAAATATTTCTCAAATATTTTCTGTTTTGCCCTTTGGAAAATAAAGGAGCTGAGAACACGTCATCAGCTGATGAAATGACTCATGAGAAATTTCCTTGTTCCAGAATTTAGCAAACCCCCTCTCTCAACCCAATGATCCAACTTGCAAAAAATTGCAATGACGCAGTATGTAGTTTTGGAACATATCAGTGATTCAAAATGAAGGCAAGTACAAATGACAGCTGCAAAAGAATCACTCTGAGGAATGAAAGACAAATGAAATTTTTGTCTAATGTAGGTGTTATGGTAATTTACCCATGCATGCATGGATTCTCCCAGCTATAAATAGGAGCAGGTACTGCCTTTTGGAGAGGGAAGTTTCCAGCAGTCAGCTCTGACAGTCGGACCAAACATTCTTGCTGTAACGCTTTCGTTTGTATATGTTTGTATTACTGTCTCTGTTAATATATTTAACTCAGTTCCTCTCTTTGTGTCTTTATTTCTGGCTTTAACAAGACCACAATAGTAGGAGAGACAACACATTTATCCAAAGAAATGACAATGTTTATTTAAGAGTAAACAAATACATAAGAAAGAAATGTTAACCCAGTGATTCCATTTACAAGCAATCATACACAGTCCCAATGAAGAGGTATGAAGCTTTGGGACATATCTGGGATTCAAAGTGGAACACATGAAGGAAAGTAGAAATGACAGCAGTAAAAGAATCCTTTCAAAGAATAAAAGACAAATGGATGAGGAGTGAAATTCTAAATCTTATGCAGGAGAGACAAGAGATAATCTAATGAAATGACACTGTTTTTTTTTTTTAAATAAGATTAAACAAATCCATCAGAGATAAATGCTAACAAACAAAAGAGTAATGGTTGAATTGAAATTTTGCTGTGATTGAAAAAACACAGGCATCAATAACATGCATAAAAAAAGTATGAAGAATGAAAACATATCAAGGATTCAAAATGGAATACATGAAGGAAAGTATAGCTGACAGAAACAAAAGAATCACTCTGAAGAATGACAGACAAGTGGATGTGATATTCTTAGTTTAATGTAAGAGAGACAAGACATTTATCCAAAGAAATGGCAATTTTTATTCAAGACTTAACAAAATCAACAGAAATAAATTTTAAAATGTGACAAATGGCAAAACTGAAATTTTTCTGAATTTGATTAACACAAACAACACTGGTATGAATAAAGGTATCAATGAAATCACAGGAAAGAAAACATGTTTTTTTTGGGTTTTTTTTTTATCAATAAGGTATAAAATCTGAAGATGAAAACATTCATAATGGAACAAAAAAGCTGCTGCAACAGTTGAAGAACTTGTGGGTTTGAATCAACTCACAACAAAGAAAAAAAGCAAAAAAGGGTTTTTAAAC